AATTTGCTGCAAAAAATCTCATATTCTGCTGTTCAAAGTAATTTTCTTGAAATTCAGGCAAAATGAAGCAGTTGGTGGGGCAGCAGCAGCAGCAGCAGCAGCAGCAACAACAGGCAACGGAGGTAACGGTAACAATATGGTTGATTCAGGTGATTTCACATTCCTTCCCTCTGTTCATGGTCAACACACGCAACACTCACCCGTTCCCGCACGTCGACCGACCTCTGCAACCAATCCAAATGAGTCGCATCTCACTTGCCCTGTCAAGCAAGTCCAGGTAATACCTCTAATCGACTAGCAATTTATTGAAATTAATTTGATTCGGAACTGAAGTGATCTCATTTCCGGGCAAGCTGTCAGTGATAATTGTATGAGTGATCCATATTCATGATGCTGCATATGTAGTTATTTTTCGTTGAGCTTTAAATGTGTTCATTTGTTGAATGCATTTGCTTACGCAAATATTTATGTGTCATTTAGCATTTGTATGTAATCTAATCTCAATCGAGCCGTGAATTTTGACACTTCGGTGAGCGTTATGTCAGCTGTGCCAGCTGTTATTAAAACGACTAGAGCTCTAATTACTTTATGATGCGCATGAGATGATCATCATAATATCGTTTACCAGTTCTCGATGAAATCTGAACCAAACGTAACTGTTAGCATCAAAAAACACAGTCAATTCGTAATCATTGTAATTTTCGGTGATTTTCGAGGTTGCTTGATGTGTTCATTTGAAGTTATTTCATTGATTGCTGGCTGCAGATTCTAGCGTTGAAAGATAATTCTCGATATGAGCACAAGGCTGCGATTCACTTAAAGTGTAAGGGATTGCTTTTGTTTCGTTTCAGGTACACACTGCAACTGCGGGTGGATCATCGAATATTCGTGCAGTACCCGTTCCCAGTCAGCGTTTAGCATACGCGAAGATGGAGGAGAGGCGAAATGGTTCAATGATTACAACGGCTAAGAAGACGTCTAATGCTGCGTCAAGTCAGGCTGCAGCTGCATCCAGCGAAATACGCGTCCCATCCATTGAACAAATCAATTTACCGTCCAGTTCGTTTTTTATCGTTTTATCGTTTCTGCTGAGAAGAATTCAATGCATCCA